CAAGTCATGGAAGCCCTCGTTCACCAGTTCTGTTCTACTTGAAACTTTTTTTAGAGAGAGAGAGAGAGAGAGAGAGAGAGAGAGAGAGAGAGAGAGAGAGAGAGAGAATCTTTTTTTTTTTTGTAGATGGACACAACACAATGCCTTTATTTTTATATGGTGCTGAGAATCGAACCTGGGTTGCGCCTGTTGCTAGGTGAGCACTCTACCACTGAGCCACAATCCCAGCCTCTGTTCTACTTGAAATTATAACTGGAGCAATTAGAAGAAAGAACTTGAAGGGATACAAATAGGAAAAGAAGAACTCAAACTATCTCTATTTGCTGACTACATGATCCTATATTTAGAAGACCCCAGAATTCCACCAGAAAACTTTTAGAACTAATAAGTAGCAAGTTATAAAATTAATACCCATAATTTAAACACATTCTTATAAATCAATGATGAAACCACTGAAAGAAATAGGAAATCTACCCCATTGACAACAGACTAAAAAAATTAAAATATTTGGGAATTAATCTATCAAAAGAGGTGAAAGTCCCTTACAATGAAACCCACATAATACTAACAAAATAAATTAAAGAAGACCTTAGAATATGGAAAGATCTCCCATGTCCTTGGAAAGCAGAATTAACATTGTCAAAATGGCTGTACTCTCTCAATAGTGCAGTACAGATTTAATGCTATTACTATTAAAATTCCAATGCTATTCTCATAGAATTAGAAAAAGCAATCCCAAAATTCATTTGGAAAAATAAGATACCCAGAATAACCAAAGCAATCCTTAGCAGAGGGCATCACAATACCAGATCTTAAATTATATTACTGAGCAATAGTAACAAGAAACGGCAGTGTATTGGCAACAAAACTGACATGAAGACCAATTGTACACAACAGAAGACACAGAGACAAACCCACATAAATACAGTTATCTCATATTAGACAAATGTGCCAAAAACATACATTGGAGAAAAGATAGCCTCTTCAACAAATGATGCTGGGAAAACTGGAAATCCAAATGTAGCAAAATGAAATGGAACCCCCTTTTCTCACCCTGCATAAAACTCAACTCAAAGTGAATCAAAGACTTAGGCATTAGACCAGAGACCCTGTACCTAATAGAATAAAAAGTAGGCCCAAATCTATGTCATGTTGGCTTAGGAGCTGACTTCCTTAAGAAGACTCATAAAGTGCAAGAAATGAAATCAAGAATCAACAAATGAGACAAAATCAAACTAAAAAGCTTCTTCACAGCAAAGGAAACAATCAAGAATGTGAAGATAGAGCCTTCAGAATGGGAGAAAATCTTTGCCACCTGCACCTCAGATGGAGCTGTAATCTCCAGGATATATAAATAACTCAACACCACAAACAACAACAACAAAAAAACAACAACAAATAACCCAATTAGTAAATGGGCAAAGGAACTAACAAGCACTTCACAGAAGAAGAAATATGATTGGTCAACAAATATATGAAAAATTATTTAACATTTCTAGTAGTTTGAGAAATGTAAATTAAAACTACACTAAGATTTCCTCTCACTCCAGGTGGAATGGCAATTATCAACAATACAAGTAGCAATAAATGTTTGTGAGGATGTGGGGAAAAAGGTATACTCATACATTGTGGTGGGACTGCAAATTGGTGCAACCAATATAGAAAGTGGTATGGAGATGCCTCAGAAAACTTGGAATGGAACCACTATTTGACTGTTATCCCGTTTCTGGGCATATACTCAAAGGACTTAAACCAGCATGCTATAATTTCTCTGAATAACCTTTGACAGGGCCTGAAAGATGAATGATTATTGAGTATGTATTTATACTTAAAGAAAATAATGTCATTATCTTTGCAGAGCCTTCCATCTAGTAGGGAGAAAACCAGTTTTAAGTTGTTTGAAGCTTGTGAGCCACTGGGTGGAAAAAGAAAGAAAAATTGCATCTGCAGAAATCTATTGATTCATATGAATCATTCTCAGTCAAATAAATTAAAAATTGCAGTAATATACATCCTTGTCTGATCTTTTGCTCTGTAGACACATTGCTCCCTTGGGCAAGTTTCAAATTTCTTATGAAAGTATCATCCAAGGGAACTTATCTTCCTTAATACGTCAACTTTGAGTCAATCCTCCAAATCATTTTCCTCCTTTTGTGCAGGAGGGATGTGCTGAGGGATGGATTGAATTCACACAAATGTACACAGATTGACCACCCTACACCTGGGTCTTAAGTGCTGTTAAAGTAATCCTTATGTACGCTTTGTCAATTCTCCAAGGCCATCCCCAAGATACTTTAAGCTTATTCTTTTTTCTCCAGAAAATTCTATTTGTCTCCTCGTCCTCTTCTTATCCAACTTATATGCCAATATACACTTCTTGTATCATTGTTTCCATCAGATAGAAATATTCTTCCCCATATCTTGTCACCTTTATATTTTTCTTTGTTTTCATCCAAGTAAATTTATTTTAACTGATACCCAATAACATAGTGTACATATTAATGGAGTGCTGATGCATGTGTACATCGCATTTCTTTGTCTCCTCAAAAACTTTTTATTTCTTTTTGGTGAAATCTTCCAATATGCTTTCTTCTAGCTTTTTGAAATGTAGTTCATTATTGTTTTCTATACATCCTCCTGTGCCACAGTGCACCAGAACTCCTTGTTTCTACTTAAGTAAAACCCATTATTCATTGATCAGTATGTTGCCTTCCATTCCCATTCCCTACACTCTCTAGTCTATGGTAACCACAATTTTACTCTCAACATCTATGAGGTCAACTATTACATATTTGACATACAATGAGGTTATAAGATATTTGTCTTAATTGCCTGACTTATTTCATTTAACCTAATGATCTCCTGGCCCATGCAAGTTATGTCAAATGAAAGGATTTAATTCATTTTTATGACTAAATAGTATCCCATTTTATTTCATTTATTTATCCATTTATCAGCTGATGGGCATTTAGATTATTTGCTTTTCTTAGCTACTATGTATAGTGCTGCCATAAACATGGGAGTCCAGATGTCTCTTTAACATAGTGATTTCACTTCCTTTGAACATGTGCTCAGCATCAGGATTACTGTATCATATGGTATTTTTTTTGGGGGGGGCAGGATGTTTGATAATGTCTCAATTACATTGAGGTACATAATTTTTGATTATGTACCTCCTTTATTTCTAAAGGATATATTTGCTGGATTCAGTATTCTTGATTGGAAGGTTTTTCTTAATTCTATGAAAATACCATGGCACGCACTTCTGACCTATATGTTTACCATTGAAAAGTCTGCCATCAGGTGAATTGGGACATCCTTATATGTTATTTCTTTTTTTTCTCTTGATGTCTGAGAGTCTTCATCTTTCATCTTTGAGAGTTGTATTATAATATATAATGATAAGAATCCGAGGCTCCCAGTCACAACTGCCCAACTAACTTTTCACCTTCAAGCAGAGACTTAACTAACTCCATGTTAAGCTGCCAGGGGTTGAGGAGAAATGAGGTGAGTAGTCCTATGGCCAACAATGGTGTATTGCTATATCACACCCTGAAGCCACAGCCTGCTAAGGTAACACTGAAGTGGGGAGGGATCTAGGCCCTCAGTGCTATGAGCTGCCTACTGCTGAGGTGGACTTAAGGCTCCAGACTCCTGCAATCAGCCACAAGTGCTGCAGGCTCTTCTTGAGTCTGTCCCACCAGCACACAGGTCTTGCTCAATTATCTCTGTTCAACATTTGAGGCCTCTAATTCCTATTCAATGCTGTGTATGATCATGGTTGGTCTGGCACTGAATTCCAAGACAAAGTCCTTTGCCAGCACTGTGCCCTGATCCTTAGAGAGTCTTGCTTTCCCCTTTTCTGCCAGAGGTTGGAGGTGTGGTTGCAGAGACAGTCTCTTTTCTGCCCAACAAAACAGTTCCAGAGTCTCAGTGTGAGGTTACTGGTATGAACATGACAGGGTTTTGGGGTTCTGTCATGCCCAGGTTTCACTGTGGCAGGCCTTGTCCTGGGTTTCAAGTCTGAGGTCTGGGCTTATTCCCTTTTCATTTCCCAAGAAGAATGCATTTCTCTTCATCCTGGGTGGCTTGAGGTTGGGGGAAGGGCAAGTCTTATCTTCCTTCATCCTTCAATGTAACTTTTCATCATAGTAAAAGCATGCACTTACCTGGTTTTGTCTCTTGTGAAGTCATTTTGGTGAGTGAATAACAGTAATGTGGTGTATTTGTGGGAGATCACTGAACAACCATTCTAGTATGAGTCCTAAACTATATAACATCTTACTATGATACGTATGCATTAATATTTTATTGAATATAACATTAATTTGCCAGTATAGGGCTAAATTCATCTCCCAAGTATGAGTTTATACAGGTTTTGCTTTGAAAAAGAAATGTAGAGAAAATCTATTGTAGTAATGATGGAAGGAAAATCTGTGACTCAAAGCATTTGACTCACAGTTCTTTGGCCCTTCCTGCCAATGAGCTGAGAATTCTGATGTCTGAATATGGAAAGGAGAATTTCAACTTTGCAGTAAGCCATAAATTTCCCTGTGATGCATTTAATTCCATCCCTGTGCCCATTAATCTACTAACCAGTGCAAAACTAACTCTGGCTATTCATATATAAACACTCATTCAACTTAAAAAAAAAACAAGCTTCATTCTTGTCTGTCTTTTCAAAAGAGGATATGTGTGGTAATTTATGGGTAATTCTACAAATAGTAAATTATAAAACAAAATTATGAGATGATTTTAATTGTAATGATTCTATAAAAAACCTATCTTGTCAAATATAACTGCAGAGAAGGAAAAGACAATACATGAGATTTACAATAAATCATTAAATAAAACCCATAATCTGCTGCTATCTTGAGTACCCAGTGTCCATGGGGACCTCTTAGTCCTCTGTGGCTAATCTGTCTCTTTTTTCCCCCAGGATCAGATATACACTTTTGGTCCTTTCCATTCTCTTAGGCTACTGAATGCACAGACCCTACCTGAGCAGATGACACCTGCATCCTCATCGTGTGTGCAGTCATGATGCCCCCAGCCTTGAGCTGGGCACTTCCACACTTGGTCCTCCTCTCCTGTGCACTTCAGCTCGTCCAGCCAGATGGGCCCTGATCCCTCCCCAAATTGTGCATTGTGCATGACATCAAGAGCCACTCCACAGCCAATTTGTCTGCATACCACGTGAGCATCATTTAGGTCCCAGCTGTCATCACAGACAGTGCCCCAGGAATGTTTGTGAAGGATCTCTACTCTGCCTGCACAGCGACTGCCCCTATTCACCAGGCGGAGCTGTGGGGTCTCTGAGAAAAAAATAAACATGTTAATAGTTGTATGTACAAAGAAAATGAGAAGGGTATTCTTGTCCTGTGGTACTCCCTCCCTCAACCAATCAGTTTGCAGAATTCATTTTCAGATTGCAGAGCTTGTTGTGTAAGACATGTAGTTGTTTATACCAGGGTAGCAGCTAAATAGTAAATTATAAAACAAAATTATGAAGATGATTTTAGTTTTAATGATTCTACAAAAAAACCTATCTTGTCAAATATAACTGCAGAGAAGGGAAAGATAATATATGAGATTTACAATAAATAATTAAATAAAACCCATCATCCAAAACCCATTCAATTCTTACCAAAGCAAGTAGGAGAATTAATTGTGTAAAAAACAAGAAATGATATTAAACACAATATAATCTAGCTAGATGTATCAGCTAGAAGTTATTATGTAGTTGCTATCAGAGTTAAACTTATTATTTAAAGAATTCTTCATAGGATTTGATAACACAGTTCTAGAAATGTCAGAGTAGTTAAAAGTGTCTTTTTTTTGAAGACAAATCTAAAAGTGAATGGGCTAGCATCTGATTGGTTCTTATACAGCACACATTCTTGAGTGCCGATGGCTTGAGACTTGGAAGGATCAGAGCACAGAGGATAGAGTAAGGGATGAGATCATCAGAAACCTTAGGTAATAGCCATGAATTCAGGAGAAAATCATAATCATATGGTCATTGAGACTGGAAAATGAATGGATCATTGTTTGCCTTAAAATATTTCACTAATGATTCTAGGCTTCAGAGTTCAGATTGGACATGTAATGTCATAACTTGACTCACTTTAGATATATTGAGCAAGTTCCCAAAAATATGATGTTTGATATCAACATTGCTCAACTCTAGTAGGAATCATAGAACGTTACTTTTTTCTCCTAACAAATTGAATCTATGCTTGGAATTCCTTTTAGGAGTTGTTATTATGCAAAATAGGAGTTTTTGGTAAGGAGGTAAATAGCAGAAAGGAGGTACTTTTGTTGGGACTCTGAGTGAAAAAGGTTAGGGAACAAAGGAATAATTGTATTTTGAGAAGAGAAAGAGAGGAACTAATAAAGAAGTCAAGAGAAATCTAAATAATATGGAGAAGCAGAAAGGCAGCCCAGAGAAAAGTACAAAGCAATTTACAACTTCATCTTCAGCTGCCTGGGTGAGGAAGACAACCTCAAGCATAAGGTAAGCTGGACAGTGCAGACAACCCAGATGATATCAGAAGACTCCCAGTCTTACCTGTTGGAAAAACACATGGTTCTTACTAGATTTAGATCAAGTTTGGGGCATTGTCCTGAGAGGGAATACTCATGAACAACAAACAAACTTTAGAGAAAAAAATTATCACATTGCTTAGCATGCTCTCAGAGTGCTATAACCAAGAGCTATCTTAAATGGCCATTGTTAGGGAATAAACTGCTCTGGGGTTTAGACAATATGGGGTAATCACAATTTTAGTTCCCTGGGCCACTCTGCCACAGTAATTTGGTAGAAGTTAATGTTCTACACTCTCAGATAAGAAGAGAACCTATCACAAATATGCTGAGAGCATTGAATTGCAGGGGAGGGATGGAGGTCTCATTGGTAAGTGGTCCCACCCTCTGTGAAGAAGAGCAATTCCAGTTGCACATGATTGTACATAGGGACCAGGTCTGAGAACTCAGAGAAAATGTTTGGCAATTCACAGAATTCCCATGTAATCTCTCCAGGGATTACATTTTTTCCCACAGGCTCCCCAGGGATGCACCATGGCAAGGACACTTGGCACACCCCAGTGGGGACCTGCTAGAGGCCTCTGGAGCAAGTATTAGCTCTTCAAACCACTGGAAGCTGACTTGACTGTTGACATGCCTCCAGGTTTCCAGACAAAACCCCTGCAGGGATATTATGACCTGTTTTATCAATACTCCCTTAACCTCCTTGACAGCAAATGAGGAGTGAAGGATAGCCAACATATTACCCCCAATCCCAGCATGTATGTTGGGAAGAGAGCAGAAATGCAACTGGTTTCTTTTGCACTTTACTGACCCCCACATACCAGGTGGATTCAAATGTTGGATGACCTGGAAAAGGTGTTTCCAATGCAAACACTTTGGCTGGGAGGAATTTTTGACTATTTTTCTATATGTTTTATTTTATTTTCTTTACTATTATATGTTTTTTTAATTCTTCAAATGGATTTTTTCTCTATTCTTTTTTCTCATTTTATTTTGTCTCTCTGTCTCTGTCTCTCACTTTCTCTTTATTGATTGTACTGGTGATAGAACCCAGACACACTTTACCTCTGAACTATATCCCTAGCCATTTTAAATTTTAATTATTTATTTGTTTATTTACTTATTTTTAAAAAATTTTTTATTGTTGGTTGTTCAAAACATTACATAGTTCTTGATATATCATATTTCACACTTTGATTCAAGTGGGTTATGAGCTCCCATTTTTATCCCATATACAGATTGCAGAATCACATCAGTTACACATCCATTGATTTACATATTGCCATACTAGTGTCTGTTGTGTTCTGCTGCCTTTCCTATCCTCTACTATCCCCCCCCCTCCCCTCCCCTCCCCTCTTCTCTCTCTGCCCCCTCTACTGACATTCATTTGTCCCCCTTGTATTATTTTTCCCTTTCCCCTCACTTCCTCTTGTATGTACTTTTGTATAACTCTGAGGGTCTCCTTCCATTTCCATGCAATTTCCCTTCTCTCTCCCTTTCCCTCCCACCTCTCATCCCTGTTTAATGTTAATCTTCTTCTCATGCTCTTCGACCCTACTCTGTTCTTAGTTACTCTCCTTATATCAAAGAAGACATTTGGCATTTGTTTTTTAGGGATTGGCTAGCTTCACTTAGCATAATCTGCTCTAATTTTTTGAGTAGGGGAGGGGATATATATATATATATATATATATATATATATATATCAGAAATTTCCTTCCTGTTATACATCACTATGATCATAACTGCAAATGGGTATAATGATGAGCAGAAAAACATCCTGCACCTTAGGTCATATCTGATTACCAGTAGTTCAGGAGGACTAGCTTATCTGTACTTGGCAGTAAATTGTGGTGTAACTTGTTTATCTGAAATATCTACAGCATCTACATAATTTCCTAAACTACCAGCCTCACCAATGATCAATTAGAGATAAAGGGGCATTTAATTTTAGAAATTTTAATTTGATGTGTTAATTGATAGCTTTTCATGTAGTTTGGCTGAAAGGTGACAATGATTTATATCATGTTCTCTAAATATTTTTTCTTAAATGAAATAATGTGTTTTATTGGCAATGTCTCCATATTTCTGCCAAATCAGTGAACTATCAGGGGCTTCCCACTTCCATAATCAACTCTGGAGTAATATTAGTCATAATAAGAGTAACTATCCACAGTATTAAGCACATTAGAATAAATTCGTCCTTGAGTAGTTGAAGCCTGTATTAAACTGGTAAATAAGGGTTATGAGTGATGAAAGGGTTTTAGTCTGAGAAGAGGACTGAATCCAGGAGGCAATGACAGTGTGGATTGTAAGGAAGTTCTGATCATGCATTTCCCCAATTCATTTTATCACTTATATAAGTGTTATACCCACAGGCATTTGTGGAAGTCATCAGAGCTAGTCCATGTGTCCATGATGCATCAGGGAAGTACAAATGTTACTAAATTAAAATGTTAAACAATTAAAAAATTAAAACAGGGTGAATATAGTTGAAGAACAAATTTTTTAGTTGAAATGTCAATTTATCAAGAAGGTAAGAAGAAAGTATAGAAGCAGAACTTATTTTTGAAACATTAAAGGTTATACAGCATCTATTTATCAGAAGTCCTAGAAGGAATGAAACATAAGCCTGGAGAAGAAAAATATGAAGAACTATTAGTTGAAAATTGCAGAGAAGTAAAAAGCAAGTCTTATTTTGAAAAGACTTGTATATTGCCACTTAAGTATAATAAATAATGATAATCACAGGTAAACAAATTAGAATAAGATTTATTCCATGCATGTATAATTATGGATTCTACTGTCATTTTTAACTAAAAAGAACCAATAACAAATGTACTAAAGTAAAATTTCCAAAAAGTGGGTATGTGATCTTTTAGGATGCAAGAATCAAATTGACTCTAAACTTTTTAATAGCAATGTTGCTTACAAAAAATAATAAAGTAATATCTTAAAATAATAAAATCCAACAACTTTGAATTTAGAATTCTATTTATAGCAAAAATATCATTCTTAAGAGAAGAGTAAATATATTATCAGTTAAATAAGTCCACAGCTTTATAAAATATATATCATGCTTCCACTAACATAAAAAGAAAGAATAAACTCAATTTAACAGTAAGTATAAGGAAATTGTAATGTTTTTCTTTTTTTTTTAAATTTTTTTTATTGGTTGTTCAAAACATTATAAAGCTCTCGACATATCATATTTCATACATTAGATTCAAGTTGGTTATGAACTCCCAATTTTACCCCAAATACAGATTGCAGAATCACATCGGTTACACATCCACATTTTTACATAATGCCCTATTAGTAACTGTTGTATTCTGCTACCTTTCCTATCCTCTACCATCCCCCCTCCCTCCCCTCCCATCTTCTTTCTCTACCCCATCCACTGTAATTCATATCTCTCCTTGTTTATTTTCCCATTCCCCTCACAACCTCTTATATGTAATTTTGTATAACAATGAGGGTCTCCCTCCATTACCATGCAATTTCCCTTTTCTCTCCCTTTCCATCCCACCTCATGTATCTGTTTAATGTTAATCTTTTCTTCCTGCTCTTCCTCCCTGCTCTGTTCTTAGTTGCTCTCATTATATCAAAGAAGACATTTGGTATTTGTTTTTTAGGGATTGGCTAGCTTCACTAAGCATAATCTGCTCTAGTGCCATCCATTTCCCTGCAAATTCTATGATTTTGTCATTTTTTAGTGCTGCGTAATACTCCATGGTGTATAAATGCCACATTTTTTTTAAAGATCAATCTTAGTAAAACACAAG